TCCTCTACCTTTCGTTTTGTCGGCCAAACGTTTTCGAGCTTCAGCTTCGGTGTAGGCATTCAAACAGGATGCCATCTCCGGGTCGTTTTGGAGGGTCTCCATGAGCCCTTCCTCGAACTGCATGCAAACCACGGCATCCGGATCTCCCTCATCAGCCCATTGTTCGACCATGTGGTCATCCATGTAGTCCCCAACAAAGCCAAATTCTTCATCCCCTGAATAGGTTTGGGTGGTCAACATGGTGGGCTCATCATCCATGCATACCGTGTTGGTGTCATATGTTTTGGTCCGAGGGTTTTGCTGTTTTCCGGCATGGACTTCATGGAAAAAGCGACTTCCCAGGAGCTTGAGGTTGGTCACCACATCACGATATTCCAATGAACCTTGCGACTCAACGATCAGACGTTTCTTGTCTTCCGATCCCAAGGAGGAGTTGCGCAGCAAAATATAGGCGCGGAAGTCCTTCATTCCCACTTTCATCCCAATCAGCTCTTCAAATTGGTGGTCGTGTCGGGCTAGATAGGATTCGTGAGTCTCATCAGGTCTTTGGGTGGTTCCGTAAATGCATTTCCGAGCCATGGTCTTCCTGGAACCCCCTCAAGGCTTCCGAGGTGAAGTGGTCCTACCTCGGCCGCTTGGGGCTCCGCTACCAATGTGTATTGCACACACTGGCGCGGGCCCCGGGCCACCCTCCTCCAAACAAGCAAAGCAGCGCCGCCAGGCGCAAACACTCTTTTCCACCAACTCTCTCCAGGTCGTCCTCGACCAAAAAGGCTGTGCTCTCTCCAACGGTCGTCCTCGACCTTTGCCAAGCTCTCTCCAACGGTCGTCCGCGACCGATGCACCACGAGTGGTGCTCCCACTACTAAGCCCCCTGACTTCGAGCCTAGTGCGGCGGTCATCCCAAAAAAACACTGCACACAGTGGACCCGCGAACGAACGAGTTGCTGATTGCCTTGGCACGAAATCCGCCGACCCCACACCGTGGGGTGAGGCGTGACTGTCGATGTTAGCCTTAGCCTTAAGCCTTAGCCTTAGCCTTAGACCTTAGACCTAGTCCTTAGCCTTAGACCTAGACCTTACCTCCCCTACCCCTCCAGACCCTTGTTGCATTCGCGAAATCCCGCCCGGAAAGCGACCTGAGCGACCCGGGAATTGTCCAAGACTCTGCCATCCCAATTGATTTACATCTTGGGGCACCCTCTCGACCCGCGCGGGAAAATAAGTACGGTCCAAAATGGTCCTGGGCTCGAATCCCGGGCTGGTCGCGGCATGGTCCCGGCCAATGCCCTTGCTTTTTCGTAGATTTTCCCTCAAAATTGGTAACCTTTTGCTAGTTCCTGCCAATGCCCTTGATTTTTCCGGGAATACTCTTGGCCGCACTTAGATTTTGTGTCCAAAATGGTCCTGGGCTCGAATCCCGGGCTGGTCGCGGCATGATCCCGGCCAATGCTCTGGCTTTTTCGTAGATTTTCCCTCAAAATTGGTAACCTTTTGCTAGTTCCCGGCCAAGGCCCTTGATTTTTCCTAGGAATACTCTTGGCCGCACTTAGATTTTGTGACGTTTTCGACTAGATGTTAGGAATGCTCTAGGCTTTGTTTATTCGGGAGGGTGCTTTTCCAAACATTTTCTTGCATGTCCTCTTGTCTCGACCCGCGCGGGAAAAGAAGCGCGGTCCAAAATGGTCCTGGGCTCGCATCGTCATCGCCGCGGGGTTCACGCAAGGGATCACGTATGGTAAATCTGGGAGGTACCCAAAAAGTCGACTGTTTGGGAATCTAGGAGGACTTTCGACTTTTTGGGTAGCTGCTGTGGTGGTGATGGGTCTGAACTCTGAGGCAATGATGTCCGATGGTAAATCTGGGAGGTACCCAAAAAAATCGACGTTTTGGGTACCTGTGTTCATGCAAGAGATCACGTATGGTAAATCTAGGAGGTACCCAAAAAGTCGACTTTTTGGGTACCTGCTGTGGTGATGGGTCTGGACTCTTAAGCAATGATATCCTCTATGGGGAGCAGGGTTCAACATCACGGGGTTCATGCAAGCGATGACGTCCGATGGTAAATCTGGGAGGTACCCAAAAAGCCGACTATTTGGGTACCTATTTGGGTACCTGCGTTCATGGGTTCAGCATCACGGGGTTCATGCAAGCGATGACGTCCGATGGTAAATCTGGGAGGTACCCAAAAAGTCGACTTTTTGGGTACCTGCTTTGGTGATGATGGGTGGGGTTATCGCGAGAAACCGATCGATTCAGCACAAGTCCGGGCGCTGAGTCGACTTTTTGGGTACCTGCTGTGGTGATGGGTCTGGCCCATAGAGGATATCATTGCTTAAGAGTCCAGACCCATCACCACAGCAGGTACCCAAAAAGTCGACTTTTTGGGTACCTCCTGGATTTACCATACGTGATCTCTTGCATGAACACAGGTACCCAAAACGTCGACTTTTTGGGTACCTCCCAGATTTACCATCGGACATCATTGCCTAAGAGTTCAGACCCATCACCACCACAGCAGCTACCCAAAAAGTCGAAAGTCCTCCTAGATTCCCAAACAGTCGACTTTTTGGGTACCTCCCAGATTTACCATACGTGATCCCTTGCGTGAACCCCGCGGTGATGACGATGCGGCTAGCGCTAAGGTTCTATCCCTTGGGGGTCGGCGGCTGCAGGCGGTAGCCTGGTAAATAACAAGATACATACATATATATTTATATATATGCTAGCCCCCCCCCCCCGAAAACCTATGTTTCTGAGTGCTGGTGTGCAGTTGGTAAGCATATTTGTTCATTTAACTATGTACTACAAAAATGTCCAAATCCATAAGGTTATGTGTTTACTAAACAGTTCTTGGATGGAGTACTCTAATTCATTGCAACTCCATGCAAAACCATCTGTCTGGTTTTTAGGGTGTGAATTGTACTCCTCTTATTGAATGCAGTTGAGCAAGTACATCATAATCAGAAGGCAAAGAATTGCAAACCCTAAATAAGTAAATTCCAGTCTAATTCTAATTAACTTAAGTTCCAATCTATTCAACTCTACCCTACTTTGTATATTCAAATTCAAATTTGAGTCTATTTCAATTATTTGTAAATTATATTTTGAGTCTATTTCATTATTTGTAAATTGTATTTTGGTTCAAAGGTCTATCACTATATATTCTAATTTACTTGGGATTCAATGCAAGCCTAATTTGATTTCAAGCAAATTCTAACTTCATTGCTATACAAGTCAGATTCAATTCTAATAGTGTATTCTTTTTCAATTTAGTTTTAATTTGAGTGAAATTCTCATTTACTCCTAGAGAAGGGTGTTACTTTGAACATGAGAGATTTTATGTAGCTTTTCCAATATAGAAGAATGTGCTTTCTTAAATGAATTAAATTCACCGCCAGCAACACCCACTCTCTAGAATGACACCAAAACTGAATTAGAAGTCCATGTGCATTGAACTAGAATCAAAATAGGATGAAATTAGACATATAGAAACCAAACCTAATTTGCAATGACAATAGTGTAAAATTGGATGTGTAAAACAATTGAATCTGAACCGTATAAAGGCATTAACATTAGACATTAATTACTAGTAAATTGGAAGAGTCAAAGTTACAATTGAACCCAAAATAGAATGAAATAGAACTAAATTAGAAGTAGACTGGAATTAAATTAGAGTTGAAAGAGTAACATTGCATAATAATCCATTACTTAAATTGAAATTGACTTAGAACTAAGGTAGAATTGAATTAGAATTGTTTTACCTAGAGCTTGGTTAGTAGAACAGTATTGACTTAGAACTAAATTGGAAATCTAAGTTCAAATAGAATTGAACTAGATCTAATTTGCAATCTCAATTTGATTTCAATTATATAAAGTTCAATTAGGATCATTTTCTATTCAAATTAGAAGCACGTTGCAGATTCAAATTTAGATTCAAGTTTGAATTCCATTAGATCTAAAATAGCCAAACATAATTAGAATTAAAATAGAAATGCGTAAATTAGAATAAACAACTGAATTAGAATTTGTCTATACAATGAAGTTAAGCTAAATAGACTTAAATTCGAATTCAATTAGGCTCAACTTAGGCTTAAGGTTGAACTATGTTACATACTCAAATTAGAATCCAATTTAAAGTTGAAATAGACTTCAATTAGACTCAACTTAGAAAGTTAAATAGAAATGCAAGTGATTTTAAATTGGAATAAGAATTGACTTAGAATTTAGTTAAATTGTATGTGCACTAAAATTCATAGAAGTAAATTAGAGTTGAATTAGTTGTTAATTAGAATTGAATGAGGAACAAATGTCGGTAATCAGTAATATTCCAGGATCAAAATGTACTTAGTGCAATTTTGTCACTACCAGAGAATGCATTCCTGCCCAAAACCAAGATCCAAGATCCAAGATTTGCACAGAAGTCTTGTGGAAAATCTTGGATTT